TAAAAGGAATGGTTAGTCTCTTTAAAGCGAATAATATATTCCTTCCATTTTCTTCTTTTTTTTAATAGTTTTTTCTTCAAACATGACACTTCATTTTATTCAACTCGTACTGGGAAATGAGAAATACAAACAGAAAGTCTACTGAAGGATGTGCTGATGTTGATGACTTCAGAGCTGCTATCAAGAACAAGTTTCCTCATTTACTCAATGGTTACAACGCTGTACAACTCTCTTCCAACCTGATGGAATCACTGAAATTGACCCAGAGACTCTTGTTACAGATTTGAAAGAAATCCTTTGGAGTCCTTTGGTGGTGACTGTGAAGGAACTACCCATAAAAACCCCTATCAGCAGTTCCAAAAAACAGCTCATTTACAAGGGACTAGATGTTGAAGCTTCCTGCAGAAAGTATTTGGATGCCATTGCTAAAAGCTTTCTCTCTTTTACCAGTTCAAATGGGGACAAGATAACGACAGTAATTATCCAACTTTCGGGGATGTGCTGTTTGCTTACCAAACGAACGCTTGGGATTTTATATATCGCCGACAATCATACGCTGAAAGAACAGATGAATCTGAATTTACTCAAGTTTCTACTCGAGCTCCTATTCTTCCAGTTCGTCTGCCTGATCTGTTTGATGCAGATGAGTGGAAGCAACTGCAAGAATGGAACCAAAAAACAGACATCAGAATTCACGATGCAAAATTACGACAAACAAGCTCCGGAAAAGATATTATCATTATTCCTCACGATGACTACAACCAAACAACAATTTCTTTTTTCAAAACAATCGGTGTCAAGGCACAGTTGTATATTGATGAAAGCAAGTTGGAAGTGGAAGATGAAAGTGATTTGTTTTGAAACTCGAGGTCTGAATCTGGCTCATCTGACAAGGAAAAGAAAATATAGTATAGTCAGTATATTTCGTTCAGTTTTCAATAATTACTTTGTAATCAATATAGATATGGCACACAAAAGAGCCGATTTGTAGGCAATTACAATTATGGCCAGATCTTAAACTGTATTAAAATTCTTGTTTAATAGAACATACATTCGGTTTTTTTGGATGAATTTACCACACATTTTGGTAGAAAGAATAAACCAAATTTGATTTTAACAGCAAGTCTCGCCAAAAAACTGGTATTATCCGGTACTCTATATATACTACTCACAGATCTATATTGACTATTTTTACAACTAAAACAACCATTTTAGTATAACAGAATTGATTGTTGAGCAATTCCACAAAACAAAAGAATCGAGAATGTCTACTGAATAAGCAATCCGTTTGTAATAGAAAAGCGTAGCGAATACTCGATTGTTGTTTATTCCAAAACAAAATAAAGTCGCTGCAAGATGGATACAAGTGTTCCATTTTGCACGAATGATTGTAAAAAAGATTATCCTGAGGATATGGAAATAAAGCATTTGAGGTTTTTTCTGCTTTTTATATTTTCTTCCACTTTTTGACAATTGATCTGCCAGGTATGTGTCACAGAGTTTGGCCAGCGTTTGAATGAGGGAGCCAGGGCTTGCTGTCTAGCCGGCAGCACTGTACTGTATTTGAGTGATGGGTGATTCCGACTCATGTTTTGTTACTAACTATCTTTAACTGTAATAATCAGAATGAGCAACGACAAAGGATCCGTAAAAAAGATGAGCGGCCTTCAGTCGTTTGCCATTGATTTCCTGATGGGAGGAGTCTCTGCTGCTGTCTCCAAGACTGCTGCTGCTCCCATTGAACGTGTCAAGCTCCTTATTCAGGCAAGTTGTCTAATTTTCTGATAAACTGGTTTGTTTTACCATTAGTCTAGTGTGGGATGCTGCATTTTGTTTGCTTTTTCAAACTCCAGTATACCGTTTTTCCACTTTCCTTTGAATGGCTGAGTGTCTAGAGTTGCAGAAAAGATGGAAATCTGCCGCTTTGGTTGCTATAGATTTTGCTTTTTTATAAATTTTCTGAAAAATTCTCTTGCCTTCTTATGGCGTGCAACCAACTCTGAGTGGTGGTTGAACGATATTGTTTGCAACTTTTCAAAGATGATCAATATGTTACTGCTTTGTTTGCTCTTCAGTTTGTGATACTGTGATCTACTCAGTATAAGCAATACCCTTTGATCTACTTTTCCCATTTATCCAATTGTGCTTTTCTGTTTGACCACGTGCTGTAACGGCTGACTAATCTCATTCAATCCATCATCACTGAATCGACCATTCGATTGTTATGTTCAACAGAATCAAGATGAGATGCTCAAGGTTGGCCGTCTTGCCACTCCCTACAAGGGTATCGGTGACTGTTTCTCCCGTGTTATCAAGGAGGAGGGTTTCCGTTCTCTATGGAGATCCAACTTTGTCAATGTTCTCCGTTACTTCCCTACTCAGGCTCTTAACTTAGCCTTCAAAAGATTACTTCAAGCGTATGTTTGGTTTCAAGAAGGACAAGGATGGCTACTGGGCTTGGTGAGTGATTTTGATTTGTGATTGATTGTGACTTAGGCTAACCAAGTTTAATTTAGGTTTGGTGGAAATGTTGCATCTGGTGGTTTTGCAGGTGTTGCTGGTTCCATCTTTGTTTACTCCCTCGACTATGCTCGTACTCGTCTTGCCAATGACAACAAGTCCTCTGCTAAGGGAGGATCTCGTCAGTTCAGCGGTATCATTGATGTTTACAAGCAGACTCTTGCCTCTGACGGCATTGTTGGTCTTTACCGTGGATTTGCTCTCTCGTCTGTTGGTATCTTCATTTACCGTGGTCTCTACTTTGGTCTCTATGATACCATCAAGCCCTTGCTCCTCACTGGTTCTCTTGATGGCAGTTTCCTTGCTTCCTTTGTCCTCGGTTTCGGTGTTACTAATGCTGCTGCTCTTGCTTCGTACCCCATTGACACTGTTCGTCGTCGCATGATGATGACTTCTGGTCAAGCCGTCAAATACTCTTCTTCCATGAACGCTTTCACTGAGATTGTCAAGAAGGAAGGTGTCAAGTCTCTGTTCAAGGGTGCTGGTGCCAACATTCTTCGTGCTGTTGCCGGTGCTGGTGTGCTTTCTGGATACGATCAGCTCCAGCTCCTCATCTTTGGAAAGTCTTTCGGAGGTGGCTCTGGTTGATTATTCTGTGCACCATATCTTTGGTTTACCGAACACACATTTGGTCTACGTTTCAAATGAACCTTATTCATTCACAACTCGTTATTATTTTTGATGAAATAAACGAGAGGTTGATATAGTTTATTGACAGCAGCCTAAGCTGATCTTTGCTGCTTTGAGGGTTTGCCCAACATCTTGCATTATGACTACGCCCAAACAGCTGGCAGAGTATTTGGAAAGAGCGCTGTCTGTTGCCAAAGAGTCTGGTGCCATTATCCGCACTGCATACATGGGCAGATCTCATTCGATTGATTACAAAGAGACCAATGCAGCCGACCTGGTCACAAAAACCGATTGTGCTGTAGAAGAGTTGTGTTTCAAGTCACTCAAGGCATTCTATCCAGACCATGTTTTTATTGGAGAAGAATCAACATCTACAGTCACTCGATGCTCCTTTGATAACCGACCAACATGGATCATTGATCCTGTTGATGGTACAATGAACTTTTGTCATGGATTTCCCTTTACAGCCATCTCTATAGGTCTTTGCATCAACACACTTCCTGTTCTTGGGGTTATTTACAATCCAATTCTTGACCATCTCTACTATGCAACATCTGGCACAGGATCATATCTGGTTTCCCCATCAACTGGAATCTTGTGTCCACAACGACTTCCTCTCAGTCCATCACCAGTTCCATCTTCCCTAGCAACAGCACTCATTGCCACCGAGTATGGTGCAAGCAAAGATACAGACATCCTCCATGCCAAGATTCGCGCAATCCAGCGTGTCATTACAACTCCTGTTGCTGGCAGAGGAATTCGAAGTCTTGGGTCGGCTGCTCTTTCCATGTGCATGGTGGCCGAGGGTGGAGTAGACGCATATTATGAAGCAGGTATCCATGCTTGGGATATCTGTGCTGGTATAGTGATTGTGCGAGAAGCTGGTGGTGTTGCCATCAATCTGGGTAAAGATCCCAAGTGTCATGATAGTGTCTTGAACGAAGATGTTGATGTGATGGCCAGATCTATTCTCTGTGTGCGAGGCATCCAGGGAAATAATGAGAATCAAGTGGCAGAGTCTCAAATGGCATTGATTGCTCAGATGCGATCATTGATTGAGCCAATTCCATATCCATTGGATTAAACTGACTGGGTCATGCAGTCAAGTACTTTAAATCCACTCTAGCTGTTTTTATGCATTGATGGTTTATAAGATTGATTGGATTCATAAATATGGTTTCTTGATGTGATGGTTGTTTTGCTTGTTTTACTTGTTTTGATTCTACTCAGTTTACTCCATATTGTCTGCATCAACATGCACATCAACATGGCATCTAAACGTACATGTTTTACAAACTGCTGGAATAAAAAGTATTGCTATACTCGGTTTAATAAACCAACTGGATTCTTGAGTCAACATCGATCTTATGCTCCAATTCAACCAGTCTCGATACCTGCAATTCCCAACAACCAAAACATTGGCAGTAAAAAAATCATTACAGAAACCTTGAATGGAAAACAGCGACATTATTACTTGGATCAGACTATCCATCAACCAGATTCAGACCGTTATCAACGGCCAGTGTTTGAGTGGGCTCATCTGGAAGAAGGTCAAAGTATGTCCAATGGGGCATTTTCCAAGTCTTATGCTTCAGATAGGCATCCATCGACTACAAGGTCGGATCAATCCCATATTCGATTTCTTGGCCACGTTAATCAATGGTTTAGAAACATGTTTCTACCTGTTGGATATCCCTCATCTGTACATGCTTGCTACAAAAAGGTTCACATGTGGTTATTTGCAGAGAATGTGGCTGGAAGTGCTGTAAGTATCAAGACTCGAATCTAAGCTCGACTGATTCAACGATTTGAAATCTTGTTTAAAACTCAATGCATTAACTTTATTATTTTCTGTCGACATTCATTCTACACGATCATGTATGGTGAAGAAATATAGATCAGCGTACTAACTGCTCAAGCTATGTTGACTTCGATTGGAGCATCAACAGCCGCGCATGAAACTGCTGCTCTTGCCATTGCAGTGGACTGGGTTCTTAAAGACGGTATAGGTGAACTAGGAAAAATGCTCATGATCCAACGTTTTGCACATCAGTTTGACACGCATCCAAAACGGTGGAAGCTTTATGGAGAGGCATGTTCAATCTCGGGTGCTCTGATGCAACTTGCAACCTGTATAACCAATCCTCATCATTTCCTTTTTTTTGCTTCAATTGGCGTGGGTTTGCGATCTATGCACTATTCAATTTGGGCTGCTACACATACCACGTTTACAAGAAATATGGCTACACACAATGGTGTAAATGTTGGGGATATCGTCGCCAAAGCAGACTCACAGTTATCACTTGCTCATTTACTAGGAATGGTAAGCGGGATTGGTATGCTTGCAGTCTCATTTCAACCTGCTGCATTGTTTGCCTGGTTTAGTGTACTCTCTGCAATACAAATAGTTTGTACAGGACTGCTTTTACGAGAAGCTCGTTTTGAAGTCTTGGATCAATATCGACTGGTGTTGATTCCCCGCGAATTCATGTCTGAAAAAAATGCCTTGCGCATACCAACTTTGGATCAAGTTGTTCGATTTGAAAACTGGCTCAATGAAGGATTGTCAAAGGGGCAAGTCGTAACTGACTTGTCAATCGGTGTCACTGTTGATGATGCATTTAAACATAGTCGACTAAGTCACGCTTTGCAGATTTTCAAAGTAAGTACAGCAAGAAATTGAGCATATATTGCACCTTTGGGCTCACTGATGCCTTGAAAAGTGCCTATGCATGGTTTAACATGATTCACTCATTGTTTATACTCAACACTACAAGAATGGAAAATACTTGTTGGGATTCAAGCTTGCCGATTCTACGCATTCTCAAATTAAAGTATATGTAGTGCTACACCAAAGCATTCAACCAGTTCATGTTATTCAAGCAGCCTTTCATGCAGTGAGATTTGAAAAGGAAATCATTAGACAAACTCAATCAACCGGAGCTCCGATTTCACTTCACGACGCAGAAAATATTTTGGAATCTTCACTTGCTTGGACATTAGATAATTTTCCAGCATATCTCGATGGACTTGAAGAACAAAAGTGGAAGACAGATCTAATCATTTGGGGCGATCGAGGTATACGTGTTGTTTGGGATATTGAAGAGTAAATAGGTTGATTTCAATAAAATCGGGTATACCATCAAAATGGCGACACATTTTAAATTGTGCTATTTGGTTGGTTTTTAAGCTAGCACTGAATAATAAACAGTACAATGAGCCTTGAATAACTATACATGACAGTTATAGACACATCCATTGAGTTTATTTGGCAGCAACAATGTAAGCTATATTTTGAATTAAAAAAATGAAACAAATGTTATGATCAAGACTCGGATCATATTCACAAATTCATACAAGCTTTCAAACATATATATACCATTCCACGATTCAAGCTGAGTCATGTCTGAAGAGGTGACTCGATTGTATTCGTAAACACCATTGTTGGGATCTTGCCAAGTCTGATTTTGCCGACGTTCTTTTATAGTATTTCGGCCATTATAACTGCTTGAATCATCCGAATTGAGCTCGCTATCAGACTCTATATCTTTGTTCACATCAAACTGCTCAGAGTGTTCGTTTAAGGAAGAATCACGTTTTTTTCTATTCTGTGTAACCACACTTTCCTCGGCACTCGACGCAATCCAAATAAACGAAGATGAAAACCCAGCTTCTTCCATCGCTTCTTGAATCTCGGTGATAGAGTACACACGAAAAACGTACGTGTATGCATTCTTTAACCATGATCCATCGTCAAAACGAAAATGAAGACGAACCCCCAGCTTGTTGGTCAGTGGATTTATTGGTGTTTGCTCAAAAAAGTACTAGATCATCAAAATATAAATAGGGTAGACGTGCATACGTATTAGCAAAAACGCAATGCGTATCAACAGGCTGGAATTTATACTCCAATACTCAAAATTGATACTTGTTTCAACACTTGATTTAATCAACCTACTGTAAAGTCTGCAATACGTCGTTTAAATAGCCTGCCTTGACTCGAAAACACTCGCGCACCACCAAAGCAATCAGCAATCAAAACTCCACCAGGTTTTAACCCTACCAAACATCGTTTCAAATACTTGATCAAATCATGCCGTTTATGAAAGTAAAACACACCATAATTCAGTGCAGCAATCATATCCACTTGTTTGTTTTTCTCCATGAACAAAGTTGGATCCAGAACATCACCTGTCCAAACAGAAACGCGGGATGAATGTGAATGAATAAGAGTTTGAGATCGTGCATAGGCAGTCACTGCCGGATCATTGTCGATCCCAATTGCTGTATTAGTGGCATGTTGTTTACACCATGCATCTGCCAATACACAAGTACCACAAAAATCTTCCAAGAGAATACGAGGAATAGGAGGAGCTGGATCTGATCGAGTGTATGTTTTGGTTGCTAGATTTGTTTCATCACAACCACTTGGATTGGATCCAGAAATGGAGATATTGGCTAGTTGATCCTCAATATTCTGATCGTCGTTTGACTCTTGTTCTGATTCACACTCCGAATCCAAAGGTGGTAAATCGATCCGACTCGATCTGGAAGAACGCTGTACACATTGGTACATGTTGGACAAGTTCTTGACTTCCTCCTCTGGTAATTGTACTGAAGCATGATAACAATCATGTCGATTCATGGTACTTGCAATTGAAGTCGTCACATTGGATTGCTGTCGATGTCTGCGATCTTGTAATTCGAGTTGATCAATAGTATATGTGTTGGTAGTATCAGCCAATGGTTCAAGATTAAAAACAGATGGTCGCTTTTTGGTGGTGGATGCTGATTGTTTTGACCACTTTGATTTACTGTTCAAAGATGTATCGTTGCTGATTGGAGCATGTTGAATACTGTGCTTGTTTTTTTTACCTAATCCCATTCTGTGAAATCGAACAACTGGAACCAATTTACAAAAATAGGAAATGAAGAAATTCAAAACTTGAATTCAAGTTGTTTATTCACCGCCAATTCATACGAATAAATGGATAATGTTTTGCAAAAAATAATCTTGACTCTAGAAAATACAGCGTTTACTATTTAAACAATTCAATATCAGGCATTTATCACCGTGTAAATTGGACTGCTGAATAAAAGTGTTGGTGTATAACTCAAAAACTTTATTTGATTGCAGTCCATCTGAGCATATTATAGCATTTAATCAATCAATGAAGGATCGTACTCTTCATCATCAGCATATATTTGATCGTCACAATCATGCTCAGCATCTAAATGATCACACATGCATTGTGTAGGGTCATCATCTTTAGAATTTGACTCGGTAAGCCTGGATTGATCAGAACAGCCACATCCACATTTGCCACTACTGCAACAGCCTCCATTGCCAGTACTACACTGACATTTAGAAGGTGCAGAGTTCAAGTCTGGCAAAAACTGTGGTGTGGTTGATCTGGAATCTACCAAAGACGTAACATCCAATATTCTTTGATTTTCTAAATTAGGCTTGGCAGGTCCACTGCAGCATGACGATTTGGTAATAGATGAAGATGCCGCAATCGAGGTTGGCACAGGATTGGACTTGTCACTATTGCAACAAGAAGACCTGGTAGTTGATGTGCTTTTCTGTGGTGGAACTGCTTGCAGTACACTGTGATTAGAACTAGAATTGAGTGGATTGATGGCAGCAGCAGAGTTAAATAAGCTTTGAGAAGCAGATGTGACATTCGTCAATGGAGCATGTGATGTAGTAGATGTGTTGCGGTGTTCCGGTTGCTGCAATGGCCGTACTTGTAAATTCATGGGTGGAGACTGAGTAGATTCAGATATCTGGGGTGTACCAAACTGCAATGATACAAGTGCACTCAACAATTCGCGTTCTTGTGGTGGTAACAACTGCTGCAACATAGATGATTTTGCAGGCACTACATCACCTTCGCTTCTTGCTGGTATTGACAAAGATGCACTCGTACTTTCAAGCTGTGAATGAATGGGTTGATTGAGATAAATCGCTTTCATGATATGATCTGTAGTTGTAGGGTGTGTCAATGTATGCGTTGATCGAGAAGTCACCCCAGAAAGAGCAGCGTCATGATAACCCTGTGAGTTAAATAAAGCAGAGTGCGACTGTTGAGGCTGATGAGATTGTTGTGGATATAGTATACGCTGATGATAGAAAGGCATAGAGTTGGGTGCGGATGGGTATAGATTGGCAGGTCCAGAGCGTTCTGAATGAACTAATTCCGGTTTGTGGTGATTCGAAGGTGAAATATCATAATTCAATGGATAAGCTGGACGACTGTCGCTTCCAGAAGCTAGTCCCATGCGTAATCTGTAGTCTTGGAATTGTTGAAATTGCTGAAACTGAAGAAACTGTTGGTATTGCTCATTGGTAAGAAAGTGTGGTCGTGTCAGCAAATTCGAAGAATTCATTGTGCCAGGCGGAGGTACGTGTTGTGTAGAAGAATATGGTAATTCTCGATTTGGTAAAGAATGGCTCAATGGAAGAGAAGCTTGTAAAGGAGGGAGCGAATGGTTAGAATGATTTAACCCAGATAAATGGCGTATATTACTTGAATGTCCAGTACTCGTGGGACCATTCACGCCATCAACGCCCATTGCGGTCATGCCAGGACGATAAGTACGATCTTGATAGTTTATAACAGACGATGCATCATACTGTTGATGATGTGAAAATGGTTGTTGAGCAGGTGCCAAAGTGACAGTGGATCTGTCTTGATAATACGAGCTTGTGTTGGGATTAGATCCAGTTGTCAACACAGAAGACGCAGCTATCGTTTGGTTTTTACTTTTTTCAAATTTAAAACCTGCCGACGTTTTCAATGGCATCTCTTGTACAGTATCTAATTTCTGTTCGAGTGGAGATTTGCTATTGAGGATAGATGAGCCTACCATACTTGCTCTTCCATTCAGCAACACCTCGGCAATATTTTCCAAAGCAGGTTTTTCATCCTTATCCTGTGGCAAATCTGCACAAATGCATACTCCTCCAAAATGGCATTTACAAGGACTATCTACAAGATTGCATATCAACCAATTGAACGTATTTAGTTACTCTATAGTACCATCTCAATTCAATACAATATACAAACAGTTTAGCAATATTTTGATATTCAAAACTTACTTAATGCAGAAAATATCTCATCATCAACCTGAACTTCAAAAACCTGCAGACTCACAGGTTTCATTGAAACAACTGTTGCTTCCTCTGTCTTGGCAGATTCCTTGGCCGTTACGCCAGTGGTAGAACTTTCTAAAACAGTAGCAGCACTATCAGAGCCAGTATTGATCCGATCCGAACTCAATGAGGTTGTTAATGAATCCATACCAAGTTTAGAACTGCACGAAGATGGACCAGAAGTAGTAGTTTTAATGCTAGGACGATGGCTAGCTGAAGATTTTACTGGTCTGATTTTCTTGATAACTGTTATATTAAATGGTTCTTTGTTGGATACCATTTTCCGGATCGCATCTACATTATTGTTGCGAGGTTCAAAGCAAAGTATCAAACCAGTTCCAAATGTAACTATAGTATACATGACGAGGTTTTGAATATAGCAAAGCATAATTTAACAAGTGGACAGTTAGTGACTGCTCAAATGAAGTCTAGTCATCATCATACAGGGTCAATACAAGACCAAAGCAACCCAATGTACTCAGTACTGATTGTCTGAAAAGTAGAGAAGCAATCAACTGTCATAGTTGGCCAGTTGTATGTTTCCAACTCCATGTATGCAATACACTTGTAATATACCTTCGACCTTGGCTCGTAGTGATTTGGGTGGTCTATCACCACATAGACAACGATGGTGAGAATGGCCCACTCCTCTTTGCCTCTTGGCTCTACAATGACCACATTGAGAGACTGGTCGACCCTTTGCCTTGATTTCATCCACTCGACGGTCAAGATGAACACAAACAGCACTTCGATGGCCTGACTGACATCGCTGACAAGCAAACTTCAATGTGTCGTAGAGAAGCATGCTAAAGTTGGCTAATAAGAGAGTAAAATTGATATTTATTGAGAACAAAAAACCAACCGAAATGCTGGCTAATATCAAAGTTGGTTCATTTCAAAATCGGCCGTAACCAGTCTTGCATGACAGAATCAGACATTTAAGAACAAGAACTTGTTCCCGAACAGGTTTTCGCAGTACCGAATCTTTGGTCTGTTTAGATCGATGACAAAGAGTCATACTGGCCAAAAAAACTCAAAGTGGGCAAATATTGCTCAACTTGGCATCTGGCCGCACAATTCTTGACTCGGCTCCACAACATCCAACACTATTATTTTTATTAGTAAACCTTTATTCAACCTACCTCAACTTTTACAAACTAAAAACCACAAGCATCTTAATGGTGTTGAGCACTGTCCACATCCATTCTATCGGTATTTATATCCATGGATGATGCCATACTATTACTGGATTGCTCAGTCGATGTTGTCATATATTGGTTATCCCCCACATCCATCATTGGTGACCCTACATCGCCACCATCCTCGTCACTACCAGACACTTTGGTTGTGGTGCAGAGTCGCTTTCTGCGTACAGCAGCAGTATTAGAACCATTGGAAGTAGAGTAATGTCCATGTGCGCTACCAGTTGAAGACGTTGCCGACATTGGAACAGAGCCAGCATCAGTAGATCCGCTAGGCTCGAGCATTCGCTCTGCTATTCCAGCCGTTCGGGAAAAGATTTGCTCTATACCCTTGAGCATAGCAGACGATTCGGATGCCAGTTTCAGTACTCTCTGGGCTTCTTGTACCTCGACCTCTTCTCCAGATAGTTCAGACAAATTATTTGGTGGTGTTGAGCGAGTAAGTGATGCCTACAGTGTACACAAATGTTAAAAGTTGAATCTAAAACATGCAATGCACCATGGATAGAAAATGGCAAGGATGCATTACCAGTCTACTGGGCAAATCAAGAATAAAAGACCGGATAGTTTGGCGAGCATCTCCTGGAAGATACATTGCAGCGTGACGGCTAACCATTCCAACCACCGTACGAACAGTCTCCACAATCTCACGTTTGACAGATTCAAGCAGAGCCAGCAAATTTCCTCCTCTAGTTGTGACAACAGCATCTGGAGTAGCAGACCAACTTCCTTCGTGACCAACAACTAGATGGGAGAGTGAACCACCAGAATGTATTAGGTGGTGAGTAAGAATAGCCATTTGGCGTTCAATGTTCTGGATTGCATGCTATAAAAACAAATACATTGTATAAGTCAAAGAATGAAACGCCAAAGACAGTTCAATCCTATTTCACATAGGTTAAAATATGACTCGACAACTTACTTGAAGATAATGCAGACAGTATTTCAAAACACGAAGTGTGTCATTTGAAAAGACTCCCATGCTGACTCCCATACCAACTACCACCTGATGAAGCCTGCTTCTTGGTTTTCTCTCAACCCGTAAGCTAGGCGATGATGGTTTTTCACTTGAATTGGAGCGCAATGACAAACTGGCCGGGCTAAAACCTAAATCAGAATGCCTGGAAGATGAAGAGGTGCTATATGGAGCAGATCTCGGACTTGGTGATAGGTGCATTGTTGAAACCGGAGCCAATTTAAATGGTGGAACTGGCTGAACATTGGCTGGTGTGAATGATGAATGTGTTGTTTTACTCACATGCTCATTCTTGTCAGGCAATGGCTGATCTTTTGTATGTGATCCAAAAATGTAAGGAACAGAACGTTCAAGTTTGTCCAACTGATTGCAAGCAAACCTATCCAAAGGAGTCAATGCAGGCTCAAGTGTGTCAAATACTGGCTTTGTAATGGTCTTGACACCTGACTCTACAGATTCGGCCGAATACTGTAATAATTAAAGGGCTTAATTAGTAGCTTATATTATGCAACCGACTTGTGACGGTTTAGAAAAATGATATAATTCACACCACAGATGCAAGAAAGTAGCTAATACGAGATTTCATTGTGAAAAATTCCAAAGTATAAACTCTTGACCATCCAACTATAGATGGATCAATCAGGATTGATGATTAAAAGATGCAAATGAAGTTACAACCAATGACATACCTTGACAACACTGCTAGAGTTTTTAGTGGCCTCGTATACAGTAGATAGTGTGCTGATTGAGCTGTTGACGAGCGGAAGAATATTTGATACACGAGAAAAAAATGCATGATGGTGGTGAGGGTCTATCGATTCGACAGTCTCTAAAGCAACTGATGGCTGTGATACAGAAGACAATGAGGCTTGCTGCTTAAAATCATAAGAGAGGGTTTCTACATTGCGTCCCTGATGCTGGTTGTGATAGTAAGCTTGGTCATGGCCGGATGGTTGAGTCTGCGCGGGAGCGGTACCAAGTGGCCGAGAATGAGAGTTGGCATTTCTCAGTCCACCAAGTGCCTCGACTGCAAGCTGAACATCCTCGTCTGTGGTGTAAGAGAGGCTGTCACATAGACCGTTGATGGACATGGCTGAGCGAGAAGCATCGGAAGCAATAGATTCTGATCGAACCTTTGAGCACTCGGATGTAGAGATGACAATAGACGAATCCATTCTAGCAAGGTTTCGGTCAGGAAAGCCAAAGTCGACTTTAGCAGGTAGACCATAAGAATGATGTAAAGTGTTATGCTGAGTTGAAAAGGCAGACGAATCAAGCGGATGAGTTGTATGTAATAGAGTATCTCCAGCCGAGACAACAGTGTTGATAGCGACAGCTGGAGCAGATGTTTCGACAGTCGACTCTTCCAAATGCATAGTTTGAGGAATGGAGATAGAACAAGAAGGGTATATGAATGGGATAGTATCGAACAATAGAATATCAAAGGTATTAACTCAAGACCGCCTAGAGCGACAAGAGTGAAATGTACTAATCAAAGATGTAATCCTTGGAATAAGACGTCCTGTTGAATAGATTAACAGATAAGAATAACAAGATGTGCTCAGGCAGTGCAAGTTCAACAAACTCTTGCAATCGTCGCAGTTTCGATGCTTGACTTGCTCACTATCACGTGAAACTAAATGCTAATTTGCTTGTCCAGTCGCATGACTGGTCCGAGCGATCTCGTACTGTCTGCCAAGTATTCGCTACCATTTAAATCAAGTCAAGCTTCAAAGCCAACTCCATTCATCAGCTCATGTCATGATGCTTGAATCTGCATTTTACTAAAGCTTGACTCTACTTTCACATGCTTCGTTATCTTGATTACTACACTCCGGTAATAATTTCCGCTTTCTCCGCATTCAAATCTCAGAGTCAAGGCAAGAATCGTTCAGGTATAAGTATCGATCAAGAGTCGATCATTTACAACCTTGCTGAAATTATATGTCAAGTGTATATCTTGCATTCATGCTTTTACAATAACCATTGCTCAAATCATCAATGTCAATTCAAAACTTTAATCATAGTTTATTGTAGCCATGTAATGATTCAATTAGTTTATAAAACAAATTATAAAAATGTTGGGTAACAGCATACAGCTTAAATCTAGAGTCGAGTAAGGATTTCAATGATGTGAATCAATTTTCAACTACGGCTGTAACGAATGCAAGATTGTCAATGATAAGGGTGCTGCATAACGGGTAGCTGTCTGCATCCAATCACTCCTGGTAGATAATCAGTTCCAACGCAAATGAGCCAGTCTGGCATTACTAGTCAAAGTAGTCGTGTATCTGTGCAAAATGGTAATGCAGGTATTAGACAGAGTATCCGGGTGGTTGTGAGTACTCTGGAAGTTGCTCAATCATGACTTGACTTGATGGTTGCAAAGAACTTATAGTCAACGAATTGGCCTGGGTTTGTCTCCGTCGGTCCCTTATGATTATTCCAACAATGCATGTAATAACCAAGGCTAGAGTTACACCCGATATAATCCCAAACACTTGCAAAGACGATGGTGTATTTAAAGCTTGTTCCGACATGAATGCGAAACGGTAGAGCTGTAAATAGGAATACTTGAAAGTGTGGATCACTAGAGCAACGTTTTTCAAAAATCAAAGTAGCAACCATTATATAAGATTGTAAGTTATTCCGCATTAGCCTCTCGAAAACAAAGCAATACTGCAATGCTTTAAAAATGGTTTCGTGTATTCAGCCAATATGAAAGTCTACGTCATATCATATGTGACTAAGCAGATCAAACCAATCCAGTGTTAAACCAACAGTCACATCACTCAATCTCAGTCGGTCGGCTAGCCCAGTACCGCGATATTCATATTGCAACCAATTTGAAAATCAAATGACGCGATTATCGGAGTGTTTAGATGCCTTTCGTATGCATTTGCAAATAAAAAAGCATTATTTGTCCATGAATTGGTAAGCTTTGCTCAAACCATTTGGTCTCTTTGAAGATGGGTAGTAAACCCATTGTCTTTTGCCCAACAAAAGAGATTATACAAAGTAGTGAAAAAAGGTTTTAAAAGAACAGGATTGGCACTTTGGCTAAAATATACGAGTACCTTGGCTTGGTAAAAAGTAGAATCTAAAATGGCTTATTTAGGTCGATATCTAGTCTTTATAGTAAAGACAAGTACGCCATCGTCAATTGATGTCTGTTCCATAATAGCATCAGATGAAAGCAATCTCCCGATTGCTTTCAACATACATAGCATATGTTTTTAATAGACCATTTTGGGTGTACAACGTTCAACAGCTATTTGACAAGAGCCATAATGGTATACTGTGCAATTTGCTTTTTGTATTAGCCACTACTCCAAATATTAATGTCTATGCTTCTCATTCAAATAAACAGTATTGTCCGATACCCTTTATATATTATTAACGTATGGATGAATGGCACCATATATTGCTCATAAAGCTAATGCTTGAAAGTGAATAAACATGAAGTGAGACTTGTAAAAGGTATCAATAGTCCAAAACAAGTGGATATAAACGGTTCATTATTACATCCATCACTTGGTTCCAAACTATCTTGCTCAAATGTCATTCACTGATTCAGCCAAGGCTGTTGTAGCCATCATTATACACCAGCCCTTACCCACATTCCCAAGAACCATGCTGATCTTTATAACCAAAGAAACTCGAGTTTTGGGAATTGTAATTACCAGCAATTCAATACGTTCGTATTTGAAATCGTCCCGTCTTTGTATATCCTCGACCTCCCTTGAACGGAGTATACCCTTCGTTTTGAACTGCCAATGAGTCAATGCGTATGCCAGATACTGAATGCATATTGATTCGAAAATCAACATTAAACACTATATTCTTGGATCGCTTAGACAGCTCCGCTCTATTTGAAAGCACAGATCTACAACTATTAGTATCATGAATGCAATCTAAACACTGCAGATACACTCACGCATTCTCAGTGACAAGGTATCCAGTAAATTGTGCAAGTCCTGATGTGGTTAGATTTGCTGCCATTTTCCCAATCGTCCATGTAAGCACCTACAGCCATCAACGCAATTAGCTAAAATAGGCTTTTGATCCAAGATCCACAATAAAATACCTTGCTGGTAGGATCAAAACTACAGCGTCCTATAGTTGGATTGGTACGGATGGACAAGACTTCAGTGGGCAAATTGGCAGTAATCACCAACTGATCTATCATCCTTTCGCTTGGTATTTTAGGATGAATGCTAATATCTAGTTTACCTATATTGATGGCAGATCATCCAATGCAGACAATCCACATTATTAAAACGTTTTTAAACATGGAATGATTTGAAAAACTAGACAGTACAGAGTATATACCTCCACTCCTTTTCCATTTCAGTGTTGGCTTGACTAGGATGGGAAGCTGAGTCTGGCTGTGGATTGGAACACTAGATTTCACGACCAATCCAAAATGTCAAGCCAGATTCCAGTCACACTCATGCATAAAGATACTCACTTGTACTCCATCAGGCGAAACGCTCCATCAGGAGGAACAAACGACAGCGTTCGATCTCGTTCGTAACGTCCTACACGAACACATGGATGTAGACTCGACATGCCATCTGCAATCGCAGTCTTGTTGCCTAATGTGAGAAGAAGATCTGGCATACCAGAAAGCTTACTGGTACACAGAATGTCTCCAAATATGGCGCCTGCTACTATTTTCCCGTTCCTGTGCATACAGCAATTCAAGTGTTCAATACAAATGGTTTTACATTCAGCCATATCCGACTATAAAACACGCAATAAACTAGACACTTGAAGCCATTAATGTCTCGTAATGAAAATCATTCAATATGGCATACCTGTCCATGATAACATCCAACTCTTCAACAACATCAAAAAATATCTCATTGTTGGTGTATTTGAGTCCTGTTGATCGCCATGGAACAGTCGATGCATACCCTGTCGGCAGCTTGGTGCCGAATCTATCATCAAGACTCGGATTCAGTCAAAATCCGAATCTGCCAGTCAAAATAGACATTGTCTTGTCCAATACATGTATACCCACTGAGTCCCAATAGACACTGCATTCATCATCGATGCCAGCAGCGATGGTGGAGGAATCATCTCCTTGAGTAAACACGGCTCGGTGATGTATGGCGATCCATAGTCAACCAACTCTTCTAGCAGCTCATACACAATCACAAAATTCTCTTTGAGAATCTGCTCAGACATGCCGCCGAAATAGTCGTACAAAAGCTCGACGATCTGATGCAAGAAGAAGAAGACGCTGGACGGCGCAACTGGTATTTGATATCAAGTTTTAGTCGAGATTCATTTTCATTGGTGACAGATATAACGTGTTGAGAATGATTTCCAATGCATTCATATAATGTAGATAAAGCTGACGCTGTTGTTTACATAAAGTTTATTACCTTCTGTTTGAACAGCAGATACAAACAGCAAGTCATGTCTGCTGATATATAGCATGTAGTACCCTTCTATATACAGTACAGGAGGAGCCTCTTGCTGTATAGGATATCCTTGCACTTGAACTACAAACTCATCAATCACTCGACGAGACAAGACCTGCTTCCAATGCTTTTCAATGATGACAGACCTAACGTTGCATAAAGTGGGTCAATTGCATTGTACCGACCAAAACATGGGCAAATCAGCACTATGGCTCATTATGTAGGTCAATATACTTGCCCACTATTATCAATCACAAACAGACTGTCAAACATGGTGTCAGATGTATGTGGTTGATATGGGCCTTGAAGATTCTAAAAAGTCAAAGTTGTGAATGGACGCAAAACAGCAGTAAAATAAACAGCCAATTGGCAAACTGCATCTGCCATGGCGGGTACGATCAACATTGTCATGCATTTGGTTTATTCTGTCGCTAATCGGCTGGTCATAAATCAGATCTGGTTGAATTTGACGATTCACAGCACTCGAGTGTCCATTACTACTTATTGCCGAAATTGTTATTCATTCCAAAATAAATGTCATCAAAGTGGAGTTTGTACAGTTTGGAAATATTTAAACGATTGAATTGAGTGTTTGGGTTGCAATGGATGAATCTGGGTTTAAACTCGGTGATTGTACAATATATGGTTATGCAAAAATGAAGTGATTGTAGTTATACTTTCGAGTGAACAAATCGTAAGATATGACTATAAACGTGCAGCTGATGAACAAACAGTTTTGTATAATTTATACATTAATGCACTACCAACTGCATCTGGGGTTTAAAGCCAAATTGGAATGCTTGTCCAGCATTAAATCATGTTGGTGCAACTTTATCACTGGTTGCAATCGCATCTTTCGGCTACTCAAAAATAGCAACTGGCAGTTTGTATGCTGGTATGCAAGATATCAGCCAAATAAAACTAGCAAAGTGGCTAATCAGTAAACTAGATAGATCTTGACTAGATTAGAGTGGGTAGTTTATTGAGCTGATTTAACGTTACTTGTAGTCAAAAAATAGACATGCCATGCATTATTCATGTAGTTTATCAAATAGGATTTGATATTCATTGATTTAGAATTATATTAAGTTTATTAGAAATAAATTTTGTTTTATAATTAATTGGGCCATGTATCAAGGTTTGTGCAATCTTATTTTAATCAAGTTGGAACGTTGGGAAGGTACCGCAAACAATCTTGTCTTGGAAATGGTAAGTTTGCAGCTAAATCAAATGTCATTGCTGCTTTATCTCTAGGAGTTAAATAGTTTGGCAAACCAAATACTTTTTTGATCGTAGCAGGAATTGATGAATGCTCAAAGTATCTTCCTGGTACATTTGATCTGAAAACCCCACCCTTTTGAACATATGGTGAGATTACAATGGTGGGAACTCGTGGTCCTAAGCGATCGAAATTAAAGTCACCTTGTGCTGGCTTTGGCGGTTTTGAATCAGGAATGGGCACATCAGTAGGTGGCTTGACATGGTCATAGAAACCACCATTCTCATCATATGTTATCAGAAATAGAATTTGTTCCCATTTGGGCGAGTTACGAATTGCTTCGTAGATCTCCTTGATAAATTCTTCTCCTTTGTACAAATTGTTTGGAGGGTGGTTATCGTTTTTAGTATAGTCTGGATCGATAAAAGAATACTGAGGTAAATCACCAGTGGCAGCGTCCTTTTTAAATCGACTAGTGGATCGTAGCTTAACCAGTCGTTTGGGATTTCTCATCTCTCGATAGAGGAGAGTGCTAACTCGAGCAGAGTCTGCATAGACGCGCCATGAATTTCCATGCTCGTCCAAGTTTTTAAAAATGGTACGGCATCCGATCCCCCGAATATTGCCATCGTTGATTGTATGGCCAGAAGCAGTAGCACAATGTACAAAGTGCCGGTTTGAATAAGTAGGACCTGGAACAGAAGCTAATATGCAATAGATTCAACATTAAATTAAAAACTAGATCTAGCTAGATACACAATACTACTTCACGTTTAAAGAATACTTACAAAACCAGTCATCAATGACGGCGAATTCTTGAGCGAGAGCATACGTTACTGGAAGAGTGTCTGGTCCAAATGACTCGAAAACCTGGTTTACGGCACCCATGTCCTGATGACTCTCCTGAAATGCTTGATCAGCAAACCCCGACATGGTTGGTTCCAAAAATCTGGCATTGATGACACCTGCACCGTAAATCTGCTCAGTGAATGGCAAAATGTCATGGCCTGGATTAAATCCACCTGCAGGATTAGTGCCTTTGGAAACTTTAATAGTTTCCCCGTTTTTCATTACATTGTATTCAAATCCTGTGAGACCGTTGACCTTTGGGTTTAAGTTGTCCCATTTTAACCTGCCAAGTATGTTGTCAAATGATCTATTTTCTATTTACCAAAAAGAATGGGTCAATGACATCTAGTTAGCATTTAAATATACGAATGCATAGTCAATCAATTCATTTACGTACCCATTACAAGCACCACGATGTGTTTAATATGTGGACTTAGACCGGGAGTTCCGGTCTTTGGTCTAATTGATGATGTATTTCCCATTTGTATTCTAGTACAGAGGATTAACCATATACTGATTAATAACCTTATTTGCATAGCTGATCAAGTATGATAGTTGAACCCGGATGGATGTAAAAGGCAGTCGAGTATAAATACTAAAGTTGTGGCACTTCAATTTTAGCATCACAGAGTTGCACTAGACGCCCCACATCGAGTACTGGATGAATACCAACACTTGGAATTCTATCGAGTTGAATCATTATTGTGTTACCAAACACAATGGAAAAATTCGATGCTTTTACAAAGTAGCCAACGTTCAAGTCAACACGATATTGATGAGCAATCGAGTAAGCTGCTTTGCTAGTCATATTCATAAAATAGATTACCGAGTAAGCGTGCATAATAAACAGTCAGTCTCATGGAATGATTCATGTTCATTTATTGAACAACGTATTGTTTTTTGAACTCTTTAGTTTATCGAGTTTCTAGTAGTTGACATGGAAACAGATATTGCATGCCTGAAACGTGCAATCTTTGTTCTCTCGAGTCAGAGCGTATGGGATTTTAAGATACAAAAAAGTAGAGTCTGATTAAGAATAGTAGACTTTGATATCTGTACTACAATGAGTTTGGGTTTAAACTCGGTAGTTGTGCAATGTATGAACATGTCAAATGATGAGATGGTCCCAGTTCAACACTATAATTTGGTGAATCATATAATGAACAATGCGTTTATTAAAAGTCAATTTCTAATAGAAAAACACCGACTATCAAACTATTGTTTATTACAAGGTAAAGTTGCTCAGAATAAATACTAAAATATTCTATTTTACGTGAATGCAGTTGCTTTGATCAAATTGACACTTGAATCCTTTTACATTTTAAAAAATGAATTCACAACTGAAATGTCTTGGTCGTAATCCTACTGCCTTGTCTATGATAAGACCATCAAGTTCACCATTATATTCTTTTCATGCCCTTTTACCGAATAATCTCAACAGCTGCAGATTGGCGCATTCAACTGCTGGAAATGCTAAATCCACTCCTGCATTCAAACTGATCGAGGTATTGTAATGGATGCATACAAAATATCAATTCATATTTTATTCTGATCATTTTCATGGATGATCAGACTCGTTTTCTCAAAGATTATGATTGCGAATCCCAATGGTTCAAACATAGTCGAACTGGAGCAGATTGGATTCATTTGAAAAAGTCGGATACCAACAATGTTTTTATGTAAGGTTATCAGCATTTGTGTTTACATTGAGCAGGATATCAAACATAATTTAGGATTGCAAATTAACCCACTGTTGATCTTTTGACATAAGGGTTGGGTTCCAAACGGATGTTACTGATTCGACTGGAGTACCTCATATCCTTGAGCATACTACTTTGTGTGGATCCAAACGGTATCCAGTGAGAGATCCATTTTTTAAAATGCTAAATCGCTCCATGGCTACATTTATGAATGCAATGACAGGCAAGAGATGGTTTATCTATACATCCACTGAATAGACTTTATTGCGAGTCCAACACCATTGTGAAATGTATCATCTATTTTAATGCTTTTATATAGGTGATGATTTGACGGTGTATCCATTTTCAACCGAAAACAAGACAGATTACTACAATCTCATGAATGTGTACATGGATGCCGTTTTTGCACCAAGACTTCGAAGACTGGATTTCATGTAATTTTTTCAAGACGGTTTATTGTAAAGTGCTGGGCTGATTCAGAGCTGTAAATGCACTTTTTATTGTAGGCAGGAAGGATGGCGTCTTGAGCACGAAAACCCAAGAGACTCTTCCACTCCTATCATTTTCAAAGGCGTAGTTTACAATGAGATGAAGGGTGCATTGGTATGTATATTGCAGATTCTCGACCTTTTTTTAAACTCGAATATTTTGCTTCAAGCCAAATCGAACTAAGCATGTTTTCCATAGGCGGACACAAATTCACTCTTTCATACTCGTCACCAGCAGGCACTTTATCGCGATTCCACCTACGCCCATGTTAGTGGCGGAGATCCTGAAAACATTACTGACTTGACTCATGAGCAACTATTGCAATTTCATGCAAAAAACTACCATCCCAGCAACGCACGGTTCTTTACTTATGGTAGATTGATGAATTGTTTCCTAGTATGATACGACTTGAAATGTCTGATATGAGATTGTTATTATAGGATCCTTTCCTCTTGAAGAGCAAATGCAAAAAGTTGACGAGAAACTCTCTGGATTTTCGTCATCTTCTCGACACTCACTAGAAGATGTACCTCGTTGGAATGAGCCAAAAACAATTCAGGCAGTCGGACCCCTTGATCCTAGTATGCATAAATGATATTGGATTGCTATTAAACATTTATTAGTGTCAAACTAGTTTCTGATAACTTGTCGACTGTAATATAGTGGGCGATCCTTTGAAACAAAGTCGAGTTGCAGTTAGCTATCTCACCAACTCTGAAAAGGTAAATTTGCATTATATATCATTTCAAAATCTATATTACCAATGATTTAATTTATTATTTGTATTTGACACTATTTTGTACACCATGTAGAACCTTGAAGAATCACTTTCAATGCGCATCTTGGTAAATCTTCTCACTGATGGTGCTGCATCTCCAATGTACACATCTCTGATCGAGTCTGGACTGGGATCTGACTATGCTCCGACAACCGGACATAGCCAATTTGCTTGCCGAGCCAGTACTTCTTTTGGACTTACAGGTATGGAGTCCAAAAATATTCCAGTGGTAGGTTACATTACATTTCTTGTTATCCTATTACAGTTTCAAACCCAGTCTTTTCATCTTATAGTTGCAATTTTTAAATTTTCCTCGTGTTTAACAAGTATTATGTTTAGGCGATTGAAAGTATCCAATACGTGCTTGAAAAGGCTGCTCAAACCGGATTTCCTGAGAATCGCATCAACAATATTTTTCACCAGATTGAACTTGGACTCAAACATGTAAGTGCTAGCCTTATTTAAATAAATCTTATATATCAAGCATCAAAGGCTGATGACGAGCTAAATTACATACCATTGTGGTGGTCTTTAACGATTGTAGCGCACGGCTAGCTTTGGCATGAATCTTGGGTGGAACATTATCCGAACAATGATTCATGGTGGTAATCCTTTGGATGCCATGGATACAGCACCGGTAAGCAAATAGATGAGTTGTCACTTGAGAGCATATGGTTTAGTTATGGCCGAGACTAACATATTTTCATCTAAATAGAGTTTGGCAAAGCTTAAAAGCGATCTTTCCCAGCCTGGATTTTTGCAAAATCTTGTTGAAACTCAGTTGTTAAGCAATCCTCATCGACTGACGTATATTATGAACCCCGATGCTGGATATCCAGCATCATTGATTGAAAAGGAATCACAGCGTCTGGCTAAACATGTTGATGCGCTGACAGATTCAGATCGTGAAAACATTAAATCCGACGGTCTTGAGCTGCTCAAGCTTCAGGAAACCAAGGAAGGTAAGTAAAAGCAGGAGCTTCAAATTAAAATCCGAGTGTAATGTTTTTGTATTGCTTGATCTTAATTTGATATTCATATCATTGAATGCTTTAGATTTAAGTTGTCTGCCTTGCCTTTCACTTTCAGCTGTTAAAAAACAAGCATCGTTTTATCCTCTCAAGATAACACAGAGTGCCAATGGTATCAAGCAATTTTGGCGTGAAACACAGACAAATGGTGTGTCATATGTGTATCTCAAATGGGACGTGACGTACCTTTCAGACCGTGAGAAGCTACTCGCTCCTTTAATGTGCAATGTATGGAATCTTAATGATATCTCCTGTTTGCACTATATCTATGCTTTTATTTGAATAGGGTTTGTTAACCATGCACTTTTTTGAACCAAGTCTCTGACATCCCTAGGAACTCATTCGAAATCTCTTGGTGAATTAGATGAAACTATTCGTGCACACACTGCAGGAATTTCTGCATCTGTGTTTTCTTCTCCAAGTATCGATGGTGATTCGCCGCGCGATTATCTGGTTTTAAATGCCAGTGCGCTTGACAGCAATATTGACGCCATGTACAATCTTGTTCTTGAAGTACTCCAGACCACCAACTGGGCAGCCTATGACAACCTTAACATTGCTTTGATGTCTTCCGCCGCAGGTGCTGCCAATTCAGTTCCCAACAGTGGTCATGCGTATGCCATCAAGGCTGCTGCTGGACTTCTCAAGCGTACGTGCTACTCTTCAGAACTATTTGGGGGAATGCATCAAGTTGAGTTTTTAGACCAACTTTTAAAGCAAACAGAAATACCAGCATTGGCAAAAGAGTTGGAAACACTTGCAAAAAAAATGATTCAGACATCGCCACTTGAGGTGTTGGTTGTGTCTGGGTCTCAATCTGTTGATCGTCACTCGCATATTCATGACCAATCCTTTTCGTGTTTTGCTCAATCCAAACCTTCAACTTTTTCCAACTCGAGTGATATCGTTGATGTAAGTTTACTTTGAAACCTCACGCCTATATTTTGAATGTCATTATAAACGATATGGGTCTGTTGAAACTGATTATTTTGGATATATGCGTGTATCTACCCTCATGCGCATACGTATGAATGATTTGATTAGTTTGTGCCCAAATACGAAATGAGAAATTATCCAATGGATTTGGGAGTGAATTTCACTGCTAGATCGGTTTCCACAGTGTCGTATGTACACCCAGATGCAGCATCACTCAAGGTATTGGCATCGCTCATGTCCACCCATTATATGCATCGAGAACTACGTGAAAAGGGTGGTGCCTATGGTGGCGGAGCGTCGTACAATACTCTCGATGGAGTACTTTCTTTCATGTCGTATCGTGATCCACCTGGAGCTAAACGTACGTTGGATGCATATGAAAGAAGTGTGGCTTGGGCGTGTGAAATTACCAAACATGTTGGAAACGAAGAGCTCGATCAGGCTAAACTGGAAGCATTCCGCAATATGGATAAACCTGTTGACGCTGCTGGCGAGGTAATCGATATTGCTTAAAGCTATATTATAATGGGGCTTGTATTCATAGCTAATCGAATATGCCAACGGATTTATTTTTAACATGTACTTTAGGGATTGACGCAGTTCCAATATGGACTGGATCTGTTTGCACTACAAGCGTAAGTACTAATTTTTATCAATTCATATGTGTTGGGTATGCTTTAGAGATTTAAGCTTTTCTATAACTTGACTGTATGCTGTTGTAACACATTTGATTTAGTCATCGAGATGCATTGTTCAAAGTGACAATGCAGGATGTAGAGCGTGTGGCCAAGATTTACTTGCAACGGCCTTGTGCAATGAGCGTAATCGGTGAAAAAGTATCGGCTTAATTTCTACACATGCTCAAACAAATGGTTTATATTGGAAATAAAACCCATGAGTCAATGCTGACAAATATTTTTAAAGATACCCATCTATCCTCCAACCATAAACTAAAACAATATGCTCGAGGTATATGTACCAAATAACAATATTTCATTCTACCCAATGCGGTTGAAGGAGGGTGAAGGCAGGTTGCTACGATCGAAACCTATGAGACGATGAAGATGCAGTGGATGAAGCATTCGCCGAGGCTGCACGTGGAGAATGAACATGAGCATGCGTTACTGTTGGATTAACCTGCTGTGTTGTTGTAGCAGATCTTCCAACTACCGCTACAGACATGGCCTGAGCTTCCCGAAATGCCTTCATTTCACCATGGATTGCTAGACGAAAGCTCAATTGATTTTTTGCTGCATCAGGACCAACAAACATGAGTGAAAGTACATTGATGCTTAGTTCCTTGGGCGTTATTTCTGATGTGTGCGTTGAAACAACCTGCGGGTCAGGATTTGGCGGACGTTTGTTGATATCTATCGTGATTCGAATCGAATCCTTGGTTACCGTCGGCGCTGCTATTGAGAAAAAATTGTGTCAATATAATGTACCAAATTCAAAAAGCTACATGTTGACCGTTTTCTCCAGCAATGACTGTAAACTTACAATCATCCAAAGAGGAATCACTAATGTCTAATTCCAAAATATGATGCCACCGAACAAACCGATATGGATGTTCATTGGCAGATCTAAATCCAAGCACACCACCGCGAGCAGGCACAGTGATCATTAACGAGTCGGAACATAACACTAACTGTACATCTCGTTTACTGGTACGTTCGCTGGCCTCGACACGCATAATCAACCGTCGTTTGTGAGAAATAAGTTGCGGTGGACAGTGCTTAGTGGATTCAAATGCGTCAAACAGACCCGTTGCTTCCTCTTCCCTTCTTTTCTTTTCATTCACCATTGCAGCTAAATTGTTCATGGCCTCCCATGCCTTTTCCAAATCCTTTCGATCTGGATGCTCAAAGGGTGTGCACTTGCAAAGATCTTTCAACAGAATATGATATCGGGTTGTTCGCTGTACAGGTAAGATCAGATAGTCCTATAAACAAAACCAGATTAATGCCAAACTCTGTTTAAATAAAATACGATATAAATCAAACCGGTGTGGATGTATAAAAAAGCTACCTTTAGTGTCTGACGATTAGTTTCGCGCAACTTGGCAGCTTCCTTCATGAAATTCTGATAATCTTCATTTGATTTTTCTTCTTTCTTCATAGATTTTTGAGATATGGCATAGTTGTCGATAAATCGTGTGTATAGTCTCACAAACTCATCCTTCTGTTGATGTACGTCAAATATTTTCGTCGCCAGATACAAATGATGGTTAGAAATGATAAAAATGCAGATAGATATTCATGTAAACCTCGAAAGCAGACACATACCATATCTAGGAACAAAGCACCAATTTTGGACTCGGTTGTTGACCAGTTGTCTACATTGACAACATCACACAATCGATAAAAAAACTTTTGATGTAATGTGTATAAATCTGCTGTGCCTGCAAAAATGAAATTGTTGGCTGTGTCACTGATAATATTTCGTTTTGAAAGTCGCTCTTGGAAGCACTAATATGAAAAGTAATGTGATGTGCATTAGAATAGAATCTAGCTGATGAATGGGTATTTAAATGATTTAGAAAATAAGATACTTTTTGAATAATGCCCAGTTGATTAGTATAGTTTTGTTCTGTTTCCCACAAATTTAATACAACATGACCTAGCCACAAAAAATATTAGCTTCAATGACCCAAATCAAACTAAAGACGCAACTTGATTCATGTACCTCGTTTATCTTTGGTCAGCACACTCTCTAATGTAGGAGCTGGTTTGGCTTGCTCGACAACTGACAATGCATCGGTACAAAAGGCGTCATCTCTATTAGAATGGTCAACTTCAAGTGACGCCCAATCCCATGCATCCTATTTTGAATAAACGTAACCAAATGATTTACAAGACTTAATTAAACAAGAAAATGAAAAACAAAGCACCATTAGATTCATACCGGTGGTAAGCTTCCCACAACTGCATCTATCAAATGTGGAATCATATGCAAATCCGTTTGAGCAGTGAATATCGGACTGCGAATAGAAGCATTTATAAAAAGTTTGGGTATAGGCTCAGGCCCCAAGATAGGAACGTCCTGTTCCATAAACGCAGTCAAATCAAACTTGGGATTGTCTAGAAAAGTTGGTAGTGGTTTTTCGACATCTGGCAGTTCAACGGGATCGTTTTGAGGTCTTGTGCAAGGTATTGAAGCATTCAAATCCTCTTGATCGGTTAGACAGGAACTAAGTTTGTTAGCTTTGGGCAGAGTGGACGCATCCGATGCAAGCATTGAAGCAACAAGTACAGAGGGAGCAGATTCCGCAACAGCAAAAGCAGTAAAAGGTCCAGCAACATTGACAGGCGGTCTGATCAATTGTGGTGATTTTAAAGTCGACATTTCTGCAGATTCGTGACGACGGTGACCACTGATTGAATGATGATGTAGCAGTAACTGATCAGAGGCTGGAATGGGGGATTTATGTAATTGAGAATTTTGCTGTGGATGAAGATGGTGTTGGTTTGGATTGATCGGATTGGAAGACTCTTCAAGAGTTGCAAGCGTTTCTGAAATATGCAAATTTAAAGGAACGGATATAGAGCGACGACTTTTATGGCTGTTGCTGGACCTTCCAGCATGAGAGAATATGCTAGCAAGCCGGCCTATCGAGGCTTGAGGTTGTTGTGTTTGTTTATGATGAGCTTGTAACTGCTGAAGATATAGTTCAGGAATACCAGGACTCAATGGTTGAATGGTGTTTGATGCAGTGGGCGAGAGCAGTGGAGCACCTTGATGTTGACGATGACTAACACTGCTGGCTCTGTTTGACCGTCTACCAGTGCTCATGCTGTTTGACCGGCCAAGGTCCGTTTCACCCGACATGGACGATGGATGATTAGTGGATGACGAGGCTGCTGTAGTTCCATCTAAGTGGGAGCAATGTGCTCCATACGAGACTGTGTTGGTTCTTGTGGGTTTGGACATTGAGGCCGGCTGAGTAAATAGCTTTCCTTTGTCCGCCTCAATAAATAGTCTTCAGAGGGGATTAGGCTGCTAGAGCAAGTGTTTTGATGGCAATTAGAATAAACAGTCCAATTCGCTCGTTCGATGGAAAGTTGAATTCCTGCAATCTTTGGGTCCAAAAAACAAGCCAATTCCACTCAACAATTGAGCCGATTTTATCATGAATCGACTTGATCTTCATTTGCTTGACTTTACTGTCCAGTTTGTCCAGTTTGTTCAGTTTGTTCTTTTGCTGCTGGTCGTATATCAATCACTACATGGTCGTACTGGTCTCGCACTACATTCACTCTGATTCGTATACATTCTCGATCTCCTATTCTATCCATATCTGCTTCGTTTCCCTCACTAAGCGTGTCGAGTGGTATGTTTTGTGCATCTTGATTGGATTCGCTCTTGCTTTGCAATTGGCCATATCGCTTCATAATCTGCTTGACCAATTCACCTGCTGCTTTCTCAAACTCGACACAGTGGTATGGTCCTGTCTGCAGTATCGAAAGGAGTCCAAACGTTGTTATCCATGCACACACATAGGGCCTTGCTCGTATTTTTTTGGGAACGAGCAACAGACGTACCAAACTCAATACCCATTTCCAATGTCCTTCTATTCGAAGCATGTTTGTCAACGCTACTTCCATTACAAATAAGCACCATCGATTGTCTATCAGATATTCAGCCAATTGACACGATGGGTTTATATGATCAATTAATACCTCCATGACATCCACAATGACCTGACTGCATCCACTCGGTAGTCCGCGTAAAAGAGATGAAATCAGTTCACGCCATAACTCGCTATACATCTTGCGAATGCTCAGTGATACAGGCTGAAGATCACTCAATAGTACTGTGCGATATACAATGATAAACAATCTGAGCCATCCAAATATGCTTGATATGGCTCCTATTCGAAGCGCACCAATGGCATGCTTGCATGCCATTCCACTCTTGGCAATCCTTGTGCAAATAGACTCTTGGAGCTTAATATATTCAACTTGCATGTGTGGCTCTGCTGCATCGCTTCTTTCAAACGGCTCTACGTGATGAACCGACAAGAGTGTTTCTAGAAAAAATACCACTGCAGTTTGAATAGAGCTATAATCTTGAACCACCACACAATGTTCATCCGTACTGGCCATCATCAACAGCGATTCTATAAGCATGGGCGTGTTTGCATACCGATAGGCTTGATTTGAATTTAGACAGATCAAAATGAATAGTCAGGCACTTTTCATGCAGCATAGATTAAAACACTCCATTACTCTTATACAGTTGAACATCACAATTTTACCTAGACTGACATCCACAGATATAATAAGCAATGCATGGTTAATGTGTGTGATCAGATCCGTTGCATACTTTACTTGTAGCTCACTATTTGGATTCTGTTCAAAATCCTCATAATCCAAATCAGCATCGCTTAATTGGTGTGGAACGTAGCATAACTGAATTGCCTGTAAAAGTGCATTTGATGTTGCATCTGTATTGGTCGATACGGAATCGCCTAAATTAACTTGTAAAATTTGACTACTAAAATACGTCGATATGTGAGCATTGGCTAATGCCACTGCCATATATAGCACAGTTCGATGCCCTATATAATTACAGTTTAATCACCAAAGGTTAAAAGCAATCTTGGATAGACACGCTTCAAGATATTTTGGCTTAGAACCCTATCAACTCACAATGCTTTGGTATCTTTTCAGGTATTTCCATCCATTTTATGCACATTGTCCAAACGGCAGTAGTCAAAGCATTGCTTGATGGATTATCTAAAAACAGGTCCAATTGAATTGAATACCATGTGATGGCACATATTGCAATCATCAGCAAAGTATTTATGGCTTTAGGTGCACTACTAATGATCAATGCCAGCTCCTATCAGAAATTGATTTTCCCATTTAGCATATTGCGTTATACTTGAGTTAGTCCAACTTGCGTAAATGGCTAAAAAGCAAAATTCAATCTAATGCACTGCAGTTGCTTACTGCCAATATTTGACAGCCATTTCTTGATTGAGAAAATATTTGAATCTTGGATGAACATGTTGCATATTCAAATGCCTTGGACATGAGCTCAATGTCATCTGTTAAATCTGAAAGGTTTTCGTAGATTGCTTCAATCTCTGCAATAAGCCATGTTTGCGTCTGGTTATACCAAATCATTTAAACAAAACAGTGTTTAGCTCTAAGCAGTTATAAAAACAAACTAGATGTCAGCTTTAAACTTGCAATATTTTGGACAAGCGATTTCCATGCATCCACTCCGTCAACAATAGTCCATAGCCATTCGAGAATATTTCTGTCATGAGTGCGATCTACCGCAAAAAATGACAATGCCATGATGGCTTGTGAAGAGTAAGGGGTTTCATTGGCATCTGATTGAGCGCGTATTGTATTCCAGTGATTGTCTGTCCATTGAAATAAACACGACATGGTATATGGTCTAAGAATAGCTGCATTCGACGAGTTTCCCATGGATACCTACAGCCCATCAAGAAATGATCACAACAATAAATTTACTGGCACATACATTGATAGATTGTAGTGATTTCCAGTGTAAAAACATTCAAGGTTGACATACACTAAAAAGAAAAAGGACGTGATGGATAGTAGATCTCGTTGGTGGAATACAAGTTATTGTATCTGCAACCATAAGAATATGTGACACTGCATTTACTATTTTGTCGTTTTCGTGTTGGACACAGAACTCATCGTTTATGAAAGTGCCTGATCCAGTGTTTATCAAATCAACCCGACGTACTTTTCCATATGCAGTCAGAATGTACATCATGCATAGTCCAACATCCCGAAGAACATACATATCTGCTGCATGAGGAGAATTTAATATTTTAATGCAACGATCAAGTGCAGATGAGCTTGGGTAGTCTGAATAGGAGTTTGATTAATGAGTTAGATGATTATATTTTGGTATGGAAAATAAACAGTTTACTTGCCATTAATCAAAATCAAATGATACAGCCTGGATTCCTGCATATCCAAAGTTTCATTTATTTTTTTATTGATCTTGTCATACTCGTGAAAACATAGAATTTCTAAAATGCAATTTACGAATAGATCAAACACTGTATACTGAGCACCATTTGTGCTGTGAATCAATTCCATATTTAATTGCATAGTAGTTTTTTGTTTCATCTCTTGGGCAAGATCAATGTAGTGTGCGTCAACTTGAACCAATATGCAGATTGCGATTATTTTTAAATAACACGAAAACAAGTAAAAAGATTAAATTGAAATTATCAATTGTAGAATCAGAAACGACAGTAGTTTGTCTCACCTAGTTTGGTAGCAAGCTTAAAGCGCTCATCTGGGAGATCTGTAGTTGGAGTCTGTAATACTTTGGCCAAATGCCCAAACAAAACACTTGTATCTTCAATATCCATGCCATCAGATATACATGATTTTTTCTTGAATGGTTTAGTTCATGTTGATCAAGAGACTGGATGTGAGACAGTTTCCAAGGTGTACGCGCAGACTCAAAGCAGTGCATACCTCATTGCCAGCAGTGATTGGAGTAAGCAAATGATCAAATAAAATAAGAAGACGAGAGGCTTCCGATCCCAAAGTGCGAGTCGAATTCATTCAGTAGCTCAGCGTGGGTTGAGTTTCACGGCCGTTCGAGTCTGGCCGAGTTGCTGTTTGCTGCCATCAAAAGTCAACGAGTGCACGTGATCACTTTGCATTCTATTCAGATTGGCGTCGAGTGCACTTTGCTGAGCTGTCATTATGCATCTGTTCTCTGTTGCTCTTTCTCTGGTTTCTACTGCAGTTGTAGTGGTTGCTTCTGCAGATGATGCATCGTCTCAATCAAATTTTGCAGATAAACAGAATCTTGTCCATGAGTCTTTTAAAGTAAGTGTCTTGAACTTTTATATTCAGTTGTTCTGCATCTGCTGGAGTATCTATTCGCTCTGAATCATCAAAAGGATTCAGTCAGTTCCCGATATACAATTATTTCTAGATCTAGTTTTTTGATTTTTTGGGAGTGACAAGTGCTACATTCCTTGCTGAGGTTTTAGTTTCTTGACTGTCCGATTCTTGACTTCACTATCTTCATAAAACATCTCGACTTTTTCCATTTACAACTATTTTGCTTCATTCAACATCTGAATTGTGATGCATTTTTGTACCATTTACTATAAATATGTCTGCATTTTCCAGTACTGCTGTTGAATCTGTTCATTTTGCCTTTGCATTCACACGCTTTAAAACAGTTCATTTGATTATTCGAAATTATTCACACATTACATTTTGATTTCTAAACTATGCTTGGTTTAAATAGCCCACCACTCTGACTGCACCATTTTTGGAACAATTTGGCGCTGACTGGGAAAAACGCTGGATTCCTTCGAATGCCAAAAAGATTGTTGATGGTGTCGAGGATGAGGATCTTCTTAGATATCGTGGCGAGTGGGCCGTTGAGCCTTCTACACCCATTGTCATTGCTGGAGACGAGGGTCTTGTTGTCAAGACTACCGCTGCTCATCACGCCATTTCTGCCAAGTTTCCCAAACCAGTTGATCCGACCGGAAAGAGCTTGGTTGTTCAGTACGAGGTCAAGCTTCAGAATGGTCTGGAATGTGGTGGTGCTTACATTAAGCTACTTTCTTATAACGATAAATATCAGGCTGATTCATTTGAGGACAAAACTCCTTATACTATCATGTTTGGTCCAGACAAGTGTGGAACCACCAACAAAGTTCATTTCATTTTTCGCCACAAGAATCCCCTTACTGGCGAGCTTGAGGAGAAACACCTTTCTTCGCCCCCTACCGCCAAAATTGACACCAATACTAACCTGTACACTCTGATCGTTCGTCCGGATCAAACTTTTGATCTACTGATCAACAATGTTTCTGCGTCATCCGGATCTCTTTTTGAAAACTTTTCTCCCCCCGTCAACCCGGCTGCTGAAATTGATGACCCTAGTGATAGGAAACCAATGGATTGGGATGACAACCCCAAAATCTCTGATCCTGCTGCATCCAAGCCTGCTGATTGGTATGTGTTTAATTTCCATTTAAGCTATTGGTTTTAATTGCTCACCCCTTGGTTGCTATTGTAACCGTACTAGGGATGAAAACGCTCCCATGGAGATTCCTGACGAGACAGCATCGGTGAGTATTTTTTGGTAAATGGTCGAGAGGTGGTGCATTCAACTAACGTGCCAACTGATTTCTACTTTAGGAACCTGCCGATTGGTTGACTAACGAACCTCTGACTATTCCCGACCCTACCATTAAAAAACCAGAAGATTGGGATGACGAAGAGGATGGAGAGTGGACCGCACCATTGGTTGCCAATCCCAAATGCGAGACTGTTTCTGGATGTGGTATGTATCTGTGATTTTTCCTTGAGGGGAATTATATCGAAACCACTTGTTGACTTGAATTTTTGTTAGGCAAATGGCAGCGTCCACTTATCAAGAATCCTGCATACAAGGGCAAGTGGGTGTAAGTATTTGCCGTTTTATTTTCAAAACCATTAAGCTAGTAGGCTCGCGTCGTGTTAACGATACCTTTCTGATAGGGCACCATTTATTGATAATCCCAAATACAAGGGCATGTGGGCTCCTCGCAAAGTTGCCAATCCCCATTACTTTAACGACAAAACTCCATCCAACTTTGGCAAGATTGTAAGTAGCATCCACGATCTACGCTTATTTCGATTGTTGCATTAATGATCGTTGATGAATGATCTGTACTGAACTGTAAACGCCTTATTCAACTCTTGATATTCTGTGTAGGGTGCCATTGGTATTGAGCTATGGACCATGACCAATGGCATACAATTTGATAATATCTATGTCGGTCATAGTGCTGATGATGCCAAGAAGCTTGCTGAAGAAACCTGGGCAGTCAAATATAAGATTGAGAGTGCAGCGGAGAAGGTGGAGAAGGTGGAGAAAGGACCTGGTGCCTTGGACAAGGCAAAACAGTTTGCTGAAATTCTCAAGGATCAGTCACTCGAGTTTGTTGCTCGTGTACAAGAATCTCCTTTGGATGCGGTAAAAGAAATGCCTCATATTGTAGCATTGTTTGTTGCTGTACTTCTCTTGCCCGTATTGCTTTTCTCCCTGTTTGCAAGCAAGAGTGCACCTGCTGAGCCTGAAGAGGAGGAAGAAGAAGAGGAAGAAGAGGATGAGGAAGAAGAAGAAGAAGAAGAAGCAAAAGAAACTTCTAAATTAGTCAAGGAAACTGTCAAGGCCGGTCAGACTCCCTCAAAGTCCAAGTCAACGCCAAAAAAAGAATAAAACAATATTTTTTGCAACAGTTTATTGCACAATCGTAGATTACACTGTATTCGCGTAAAGCGAAACACTAGACAGGTGTAAATGTGTAACAAATCACCGATTTCATGGCATGATGAGTGCCAAATTGACTGAATAACATTGTTTATGACCTCGAGTCTATTGGAGTACTCTTGAGATATGTTGAACTAGATTGCAAAGGTATCTGATATTAGAACAGAGTTTCAATAACGAATATGTAACGATTGTTTATTCCGGAGTAAAATAGTCGATCCAAGATCAATACAAAAATGTTCAAAACTATCGTAAGAGTCATGACGGCTGTGCTTTTTGAAGCAATCGGTCTGTAGCATAAGCGCGGTGAATGTTTAATCGTTTATTTCAAGTCGTTACAAGCGTTCCATTCTTCAATACAACTCCAACACTTGATTGTATTGATCAGACAATATGGATTCTATCACTAGCGATATGGCAACAATCATGCTTCATGCTGATCATCCTTCAACTCATGATGTAGCAGTTCCTCTACATGTTTCAACCACCTTTGGTAAGACTTCACCTTCAATCTCGACTGCTGCCATCTTTCATGGCAGATCGTACATGTTTATTAAAACATATCATCTTTGGATAATATACAATCTTTATATTAGTTCAAGGCAAAGCCTTTAATGATAAGTTTGCCATTTCAAAAAACTGGCTGCCAGCTTCAACTGATCAACCAGACCTATCCGCTCATGTGTATTCTCGAGAAACGACTGAAGTACGTAGCCGTCTAGAGTCCATTCTTGGTCATCTAGAACAAGGTAAAGTATCAATTGAAATCCTTGGCGTGGCTGATTTGAATGCAGATTGCATCAAACAGCAAATGCCGTTCGTTTAGTGCATATCTGACATTTTTGATTTGGCTTGCATTGTCAATGCGCAGGAAGTATGGCATATGCAGTTACATATGGATCTGGACTTTCGGCCATTTTTGCAGTGTTTCAGCTGATTCAGCCTAAGCGTATCCTGACCAGTACAGGAGGTTATAATGGCACGCATGGCATTATTGAAATGTACATGCGAGGCCGTTCTGTGGTAATTCAATGTGCTGGTTTTGAACTCGTCATTCACGGCAAATATCACTACTAGATTAAAGTTTGCAATGCAGTTTCACCATTTGCTAATGCTATGTTTTTGATTTAGGAACTCTTTTACATTGAGAATGATAAGGATGGTTCATTGCTGAAATCGCTTGAAGCCGGCGATTTGGTCTGGCTAGAATCTCCTCAAAATCCGTGTGGAGAAGTTGCCGGTAATATTGTCTTGGTTTTGCTGATTTTCAATAGATTGTGATTCCTACTGTTTGGCGCAAGTGCTATTTCACTAATCATTCCAATTTCCTGGGTCTCTACATGCATAGATCTTCACTACTATACGACCAATCGCAAACCTGGCGTGATTGTAGGAATTGACTCTACATTTGCACCTCCACCACTTCAATGCCCTTTAAAGCATAGTATGTTTAGGCTCGCTATTATATTTCAAGTTTTATTTTAAAAGAATTTAACCAAATATTTCCGGGATATAGATGTCGATATTGTGATGCACAGTTCTACAAAGTTTCTGGGTGGTCACTCAGATTTGCTTGGTGGAGTTTTGATTACAAAGGATATTCACGTTAGGGATCAGGTTAGTTTTTAGTTGACTTGTATACTCGTTTACAATTTTTCAATTTTTCAATAGATATATCATTTTCATGTATGTTTAAATTCGTAAACCTGACTTTTGAAATGCATATTGGTATGTTTTAGCTTTTTAAAGACAGAATGCATCTTGGAAGCAACATGGGAAGTATGGAGGCATGGCTGCTTCTCCGTAGTATGAGGTATGGTGCATTGATGTTTGTGTTGGTATTTTAGTACAGTTGCTGACTCATACTTGATTTCATGATGCTATGCATTTTAGATCTTACAAACTACGAATCCTGCAACAGTCGAGCAGTGCAACCACTTTGGTTAAATGGCTTAATTCGCGCATTTCCGGCGAGTCGAATGATGAGACCTTGGATATCATCGAAAAAGTATGGCATGCCTCCATCCCCGCCAATCCTGGCCATGAAGCTGCATTACGTCAAGGAAGTGGATTCTCTGGCGTTTTTAGTGTCGAGGTATTTTACTAAATATCTACTTACTATTTTTAATGCTATATGATGTCATACTGTGTACTTATTTCATATGTTGCGATTAGTTTAAATCTTTACACCACGCAAGACTCATTTGCTCAAATCTCAAGTTATTCATCAATGCCACATCACTGGGAGGTTGTGAATCGCTTGTTGAATGGCGTGTTGCTTCTGATGCCAGTGTCGAGCCAACTGTCTGTCGATTTAGTATTGGTCTTGAAGATGTGGAAGATCTTCAAAAAGACTTGAGTGCTGGCATGCTCCAAGTTAAAAAGCTTGTGGAGGATATGGACGAGAAAAAGTCCAGTGAAGGTGGAAACTGATCTCTTATTGTGTTTGTGTTGACAGAATTACCATTAAATTGCTTTAGCTGGTATGCATTTAAAGTCAGTAAAATGTACAACAGTCAATGTTTATTTAATCCCATTCGTCATCCGCAACACCTTCAATCAAATCTTGTGGTAACGGGCCTTGTTTTGATTTTTCCATGGCTATATCAAACATGGCTTTTATACTCTGATGTAAATGAAGTTCAAAAATGGTCAAAAATTAATGTGTAATTGCTTTAAAATAATCAGTCATTTCAAGGCAAAATAATTATACTTACTGCTTCCTTTCGCTCATACTCGGTTTGCTCAACAACTAAATCAACAGTTTTTCGAATCACCTTTTGCTCAACTGGTGCAGTAGATACTGTAACAGGACAACATATTTTGAAGAATTAGCAAGTTCCACTAAACGTATACCCATATTACAGGAATCTGTTCAGTTTCCAATAAAAGCAAAATTAAAGCCAAAAACAAACTTACACAGTTGCATATCTGCTGGTTTAAGA